TGGGGTTTGGGGTTTGGGGTTGGGGTTTGGGGTTTGGGGTTTGGGGTTTGGGGTTTGGGGTTTGGGGTTTGGGGTTTGGGGTTTGGGGTTTTTGGGTTTGGGGTTTGGGTTTGGGGTTTGGGGTTTGGGGTTTTGGGGTTTTGGGGTTTGGGGTTTGGGGTTTGGGATTTGGGGTTTGGGGTTTGGGGTTTGCGGGTTGGGGTTTGGGGTGTGGGGTTTGGGGTTTGCGGGTTGGGGTTTGGGGTTCGGAGAGCTGTTGCTGACAAGGGAGCGTTGGGGGTCTACGCTGCGAGGTCCAAGGCAGGGCCACGCTAGACCAAAGGCCAAGTCAGCAGGCACGGGAGCCACAATGGGCAAACACACAACAGCATGCAGAGGATCGAGTCAAAGAAAGATAGACGAACCTAAAAGTACACCGCATGCCCTGACTTCAGACAAGGGAAAAATTGCCAATCGTGGCCTCTGACTTGGCTGACTGCGTGGAGAAGGATTTGCTGAATGTGGCCATGCTGTTTGTTGAATTTGGGTTCGGGTGTTGGCTGAACGGCCTTGCGGTAGTCTGAAAGTCGCACGGTTGTTCGCTGACTTTTTGCTGACTACAGCCTGCAGGGTGCTTGGGGGCCCGTTTAGAGTGGGGTTTTGAGCATACAGTGGGTGGCTAAGGACTTTTGCGGTGTGGCCCGAAAACTGGGCTGTTGCTCATAAGGCTCCATCAAGGCGGTCCCAGCTGATGCTCATGATGCTGGGCTTTGGGGCGACACGCTTCCCGGAAAATTGCTGATGCTGGACTTTGGGGTGACAATTTTTGCTAGAACTTCCCGGCTGATGCTCATGATGCTTGGGAGGGGGTCCCAGCTGATGCTCATGATGCTGGGCTTTGGGGTGGCAATTTTGCCGGCTGATGCTTGGGCGTTGGGGCGACACGCTTCCCGGAAAACTGGGCTGTTGCTGATGCTCGGCTGTGGGGTGGCAATTTTGCTAGAACTTCCCGGCTGATGCTCATGATGCTTGGGCTTTGGGGTGAGAAAAGGCTGGGGGGGGGGGGGGGTCCCAGCTGATGCTCATGATGCTGGGCTTTGGGGTGGCAATTTTGCTAGGGCTTCCCGGCTGATGCTTATGACGCTTGGGCTTTGGGCCGACACGCTTCCCGGAAAATTGCTGATGCTGGACTGTGGGGTGACAATTTTTGCTAGAACTTCCCGGCTGATGCTCATGATGCTTGGGCTTTGGGGCGAGAAAAGGCTCGGGGGGGGTCCCAGCTGATGCTCATGATGCTGGACTTTGGGGTGACAATTTTTGCTAGGGCTTCCCGGCTGATGCTCATGACGCTTGGGCTTTGGGGTGACGCGGTTCCCGGAAAACTGGGCTGTTGCTCATGATTCTCCTAAAGGCTCGGGCGGTCCCAGCTGATGCTCCTGATGCTGGGCTTTGGGGTGGCAACTTTGCTGGAGATTCCCGGCTGATGCTCATGATGCTTGGGGTTTGGTGCGACACGGTTCTCGGA